CAGTTTAAACTCAAATCATTAACTCCCTGCAATGATATATTACACAATTAGTGTAAAATTACTGGGAAATTTTGCTTGCATACAATACATAGGCTATCTGACAATCAGTACCGGTTGTAAAATATATGGTTTTGGCTTTTTAACTTTTTTTACTTCATTACGTTTTTTTTTTATTGTGAAAGCCACACACATATTTATTATATAATCATGGTCCTTTGCTCTTATATTTATCATGTAATATATTTATCAAGGTATTTTTGTAAATTTAATACCACACAATTTGTGAAAAAACGCAACGTATAACGTTCGTATCAGCGGTTTATAATAATTACACTCGTTTAAGTCCTTCATTTTAGTGAGTACCCAGATGAATGGCTTTAAGTAAATTTGTAGGTAAGTTTCCTATGTTTTCGTTATAAATGAGTAGCATCTATATTTGTTCTATTAGTATTTGTATGCCTTGGTTAAGATTTACAAAGCAGCTGGAGTTTGGAGTGCTTGATATTCCACCAAAAAGTGTTTGGCTTTTATGTATCCTAATTAGAGATATGCTTTAATAGAGAAAACATCTCTAGGAATACAGAAAAAAATCACTTCAGCAAGATATCTTACAGAATTCTGGGAATATGATGATTGTACATTCATATACAAATACAAAATAAACAGAAAAATTCAGCCCAATATTATTGTGATACATTTTTATTTACAGTAGTGAATACAAGCGCATGTGATTTCTAGTTGCAAAACAACTCTTGGATAATGAAAAAAAATATATGGTTTTCAGTGCCTGTCTGATTAACACAGTAAGTGAAATATATACACTATTATTTACACTCATATTTGAGAATGAAAAATAGATTTAGAGGTGCATCACAATTACTTGCAATGCATGCTGGGAGAAAATGCACATTTCAAATTTTGTTTCAAAAAATAATTCAGCGCACTGTGGATTATATCCTGAACCAAAAGGGATTGAGCATATGTACCATGTATTCCTGTCTACCCAATAATGTCTTGTCGGTGCCAAATTTCAATAAAATTGATCAATGAATGAATTCTATAAATAAGAGACAAAATTCTGTTTTTTCGAAGGCAGGTGGACAAGTTAATTCTGGTAGAGGTGGTTAATATGGACGGTGTTAATATAAGATGGAATGTTATATAAATTAGAACATTTATAAATGATCACTAGCCCTGAATTTCATGATTTATAATAGATTGATACCATTATGCCCAGGTTTCCCAGCATATTCTGTTCAAATTACATCCATGTTCAAATTACATCCATAAAATGAAATGATGGTGATTTCTTTTTTAAATTAGAGACAGAAAGTCATTGTAACTCATTTTTTGAAAACTGAAAAAGCCTTTAGAATCTCTCTGTAGCAATTTCTTAGTGGTATCAATCTTGGGAAGATTTACTTAGAATATGAAAATGGAAGACATGCAATGCCCAGATTCAGGCACATTGTCATTTACTCGGTCACTGAATAGTGCCCTCAACCAACACATAGAAATCTCTCTTGTTTTTACTGTGCACTTATTGCGGTGAGAAAAGATGCATATTTTTTACATGTGCATAGATACAAGATTGTGGTATTACTATATCACAAAAAATGATTTTTAAGAAAAACACTAAAATACATAAAAAATAAAAATATACATTTAAAAATAAAATTAAATTGACGTATATATAAATATATATTACATAAACAAAGGCTAAACACTTATTTATTTTGTTTAAATTGGAAATGGATGCTCAATATAGGTCTAAAAATTCTTTAATTGATATTGTAAATTTTTAAACCCTTTCAAAAAATTAAACAAGATATTAAGTATTTATCTAAGTATTTAGAAAACTGTACAGCAACTAATCTAAAAAAACATACATACTTTAAATAACTAGAAAATATTTGTAAATAAAAACTTGCACTTGAAACACTTGAATATATGTCTAATTTGAATAATAGTAAATAAACAAGTATACACCAGATCCCTTCAATCAAACAGGTTAGTGCAATTCTGTCATTTAAAAGCTTGTGGTTCAAATTTGTTTTTTTATTAAGTATGATGATACCTAAGTACTTACGGTACATACTTAAGGTAGTGGGACTATTATTTGCATACTTGTTTTCATCTTCTAATTGGGACCAAACAACTACAAATAGACCCAGGAAAGTATATATTTTTAGAATCGCCAGACTTCAAGCTTTTCAAAGGTGTGTTTGCCATGCTCTTATCTGCATTCTATGGTGCGTTACTTAAACAAAAGTGAAAAATTACTTTTTTTGTAAAAAAAAATAATTACGCATTTATGCTGGTGATAAGAAGTTTTGTTTTCACTTTTCCTAGTTGTTCAATAGTCTGGTAAATTGAATGTGTCTGGTCAGTTTTATTCAAGTAACGCATTTTGAAAAGTAGTGTCCTGAATTTTAATTTCTGTTTTAGTCGCATTGACCCCAACTCAAACCACAACACACTGGTAACTAATCCATGAAATAGTTTGTCTGGACACATTCAAGTTCCTCTCACTGTCACCTTAAAGCTGTGAAAATTTGGTGTTAATCCGACGACAATAAGTATACGTTATTTTTTGTTAAAGACCTTGTATTTTGAAAAACATAAACTTCTAGAAAATGTCAATGAAGTCACAGCAAAGATTTTCAAGCTTGTTTATCTGCACAAGCGATTTGTTTTCCCATCAAGGTCTGTTTTAACATGTATAGGGGCATCCAAATGTGTAAGGCTATTGGAAACCAAAAATCAAAGAAAGCTTAGAAAGAACTCCCGTGTGCTGAGAGTATAGGAGACACATT